GATGTTATTTTTGAATTATTCATTACAATTAAAGGAGAGACTAATTTTTTTGCGACTACAGGATTCAAGATGTTTCAGCGAAAGCCTACGATCAAATTGGCCCCGAACCATAAACAGACGGATATCGACGATTTGGTCAGTGAAACTAATCGAATTTGAAAACCACGACATTCCATAAAAAAATTCGTCAAAGTATAATATGCTTTCTTTCAAGCGTTGTAACTACAATCGTGTGATAAAATGCTATACTGCCCTCGTTTTTCTGAAAAGGCTAAGGCGCAAATTTATGCGTGATTCGTCTATATCAAATAGAAATCATGGCGGGATGCGCAGGCTGACGTCGACCTACTTAAGATTCGAATCTCACCTCGAATTATCTTCAAAGGCACATGGAAAAATTACTTCGAGCTGTAAAAATTTGTCTCAACGAGCCACCGTTCGGCAGAGCTGGTAGCCACCCGATGCCTGCGTGTTCCGTCATCGATGTTGCTTTTTTTTGCTAGTGAATGTGAACACTGCTTATTTGTTCTTAGTGGCCAGTCACCTTCGATGACAGCTTATCCTTATGGATTGTCGATGCAGATGTGTCAGAATCGGACGTTGTTTATAAAATTCTCGATCCAGTGCTAGTATTACAGCTTCGACAGCAATAACCCAGATCTGGAAACAAATCCGTCTAGACACTTGCCTCATCTCATGCTTGGCCGTCCTCAGGGTCTTCAGCCAGCGGCAGTTGTGACTTATTCCACGTCTCTTTCAAATATCTCGATTCCGGACATTGTCCGGATGCATGAGCCCAGCGATCAGTGTCGGAAAGTCTATTTCAGCCATATATACCCTCAATAAAAGTTTGTCAGTCATCACCTACGACTCATGACCGGAATGAAGATCGATATGAACAGAGGGAGCATAATCTTCAGTCACTTATGTTTGGACATGTTCATGCAGAACTTTGCCGCTGGAGCTCTTTCTCCCACTAAATAGAACAAGACTTTTGGTTTCAGACGCGTTAACGCGTAAGTCGCCTATGTCCCATCCGTCCGACTATGAACCTTTCCAATAAGTGCTGGAGACCAGTTTCAGAAGATGCAAACAAAACAAGGTCATTTGCAAGCAGGAAAATTCGTGATTTTACATTTCCTAAGCTGGAACTCTCGTCGCAATGGCTAAGTCCAACTATTCCCTCCCTTTGTTACAAA